TTTCATCGCCTCCAACAAACTTCTTGAACTCTTCCACTGTTTTGAGTTCCTTAGCTGAAGGGCCCGCTTGTCCGCGCATGTATTTTACGATGCCGTCTGCTTCACGAGGTCCATCGTATGACTGAGCTTCTAATCCATTACGGAAGATCTTCAATGTTGGGAATCCCTTCACGCCGAATTTGTCGCAAGTGGCCTTCTCGACAGTACAGTCAACCTAAAGCAGTTCAAGTAAATGGCTAGAAGTCCTAAACACTCTGGAGCGCCCCAAGACCGGCCCATATCCTCGTCCTCAGCCGAAGAAGCTAAACTGGTCGTTACCAAATGAAGCAGCAAAACTAGCAAAGGCAAAATGCAGGAGGCAATGCTGAGATGTGAAGAGATGATCAGTCGGCAGTAGCAATATCACTTGATGAGCGTGAGGCACAAATAGGATCAGTAAGACACCAACAACCCACCAGCTTTCAACTTTGCGTATTACCTCTCTCTACGAACTAGTCCCATGACGGGCGGAGGGTAAGCCATTTCTACTGTACTACTATTTCTAACTAATTTGGTCTTCCTAAGATGAATGCCCTCTGTCTACAGGAAACGTTGAATGCATGAAATCCTCCTCTTCTGAATAATCTGAATGGGCAACGCCTTCAGCAGCTCCTTGCCGACTACAATCCCTGAGGTGTTAAATTCACAGTGCGCTTGACGCGCTATCGACCCATTGAAGACTTAGAGCAGCCTAATCCTTCATAAGTTGATTTCCTTTTGTTAAGCTCCTTCCTTCCGAACACTCCCTCCGAATTCGTCTACCGAATGAAACACCACCGAATTAATTTCACTTTCGTGCTTAACCATCACTCAGATTGAATGAAAGGTCAATCTATTCTAATGCGTGAAGCTTGATACAAACATGGAGCAGATAAACGTCAGCTGCCGCAACTCACCTTTGATGAGGGTGATGGGAGGATCATTCGCCTTCAGTTTTGTTGCTGCCTTGTCAAACTCGGGAGCCCAGCTTTTTTGCAGTGACCCCACACCTGTAATCAATAACGACATACAAGAAGAGATAAGACGGCTTAACACCCGAAGAGACCCTACTATGACATATACTTAGGGTATTACGTATCGAACTACTATACAGTTTAACCGTTAACCAGATCTGAATTCATTATTCTTTTATGACTGGCTTCATATAGTTCAAATCTGCGGTCCACTCAATAATTATGAACTGAACAATGATATGTCATCCCGAAAAATGATATAGAAAAACTTCATTTTAACGCAATGCCACGAAATGAACTACTGTTATATTGTTGAGAAATGAAGTTCCAGCTTTGAACCACACAAAAATTGAAATTTCGAAACTTCACCACGGCGAACATGATCGTACTTGTAATTAGTTCTCTACGTTTCTTTGGAAATATTTACCCTAGAAATGACTTCTTTTTAACATCGATATTCCAACCCCCATGCTAACATGGAAAAAAACAAGCACATATAATATCCTTGTCATTTATATTGTATTTTATTACATCACGTTTTTAAGGAATAGTCAGGTTGCATTTGGGAGCTGTATCAACAGCATTCATGAATGCTGCTGAGTAAGCACAGTCACTTCAGGCCAAATGATCGATTGCGTAAATTGAGAAGGACAATCTGCGTTTAACCAGGCTCGCCAGATTTATACATCCGCATGAGCTGCACTTCTCTTTTAAAATGCTGGACAGAGGCCTATCAAGCGGCAAATGCGTAGTGAAGAAAGTTATATCCCTCTGGCTAAGTTTTCTGGATCAATTATTAGTTGCTTTAGCATGGAACCTCAGGTGTAGTTGATGCGCATTCCGGCATTTCCCGGAGTCGGAAATTTAGAGAATCACACATTGGTGTCTTTCCTTTTGCCATTGATTTTGGCAAGCATTCTCCCACAACATATGGTGAACTGGGATGTCAAGATAATCATCAGTAAGAGAATAAAGAGAGCGGGTTACCAGAATTCCTATGAAGGGCTTTTTCGATACTCACGTAGTGGGATATATAAAAATATGCAGAACTTCTGATCTCCCCTTTTATTTTTCTTTTTTTTTTTGTCGTAGTTGACGGCAAGAGAGCGACGCTCCTTTAGGCTGGTGTCAGAGTCCGCGATCCGTCGCAGGTTTCGCTGATTTTCGCGATTTGCGCGAAACCTGCGACGGATGAATTGCAATTGCAAGTGTGTGAACATTTGAAACACTGAATATGAAACAAGTGGAATCATGAGCAGTCGTCATTCAGCCATCACTATCAAGCAGAAATGCGCGGAAGCGATTGGAGAACACCTTGCACTATTGATCAGGGCACTTGTGAGTCCGTGACCCGTCGCATGAATCGAGTGAATCGCTCAAAATCGGGCTAATCGAAAATCGCGAAAATCAGCGAAACCTGCGACGGATCGCGGACTCTGACACCAGCCTTACAAACACCTCACTTTTCAACAGGGACGGCGAGCACTTGAACTTGGTGGTGATGTCACATTTGAGGTAAGCTTGCCAAGACAACGGTCAATGACCCAGCGCGCTGTACCTAGTTCGCATGAGGTTCCAGGCACACCACATAGAAATTCTATCCCGTCAATTCATCGAATATCTGGACAGGCCCTTTGAAATCGCAGGTTACGATTAAATCAGATGGTACAGTCGTTAACTGCCATAGTAGTTTGGTCTATTGCTCCTACGTGTCAAAATAGCCTTCAACACCGCTTTCTGACCCATAAGTTCCGCCATTTGCCTGTTGTAAATATGGGTTTTAATTGATATTCAGTGGGTTAATGTTTGGATTAGATACGGTAACAGGAATAGACCAATGAGGGTGGGGGGAAGGCAGATGGACGGATCCAAGCATAAGCGATCAGCTTGCAATACACTTTTAGTTACCATTCGTTTTTTATTTCATAACTGGTCAACCAACTGCCAACTACTTTCACTTTTGCGCGCGGTAACCCCCATCTAGCAATCATGGAAGAAACTCTTGAGAAAACATTTAAAGAAATGTTGCACGTAATTCCCATGAGGAGGAAGGAATCGCCGTAACATTTACCGTTCCGTTTCTATTGCCTTGGCATAAGGCCAACAGGAGCTATCCGCTCTTTTTCAGATCTTTGAGACTCAACGAGATTTTTGAAATCCCGTTATCGGTTCGATCAATTACTGAAGTCTAGTAGTTGAGTGGTATTGATGCCAATGTGATCACCAACCACCTTCCGATACCGCATCGTTTCATTACTAGATGCAAGTACTCTTCTTATAAATCGTATCCATACTTCATGGGTTTACACTCGTCTATTGATTAGCTACAGTCCATATCTCGAAGTTTGACGAGGTGTTTCTATGAATTTGATGTGGGCGTCGCCGCTTTTGGTAGAAGTCGTGGAGAGAAGCTGTTTCTAACACATTTCACTGGATATCAGCAAAGCATGCTGGAAGCAGCTTATTCAAACGACTTCCATCAAAGTACGGTGACGGCCTTATCAAATCCATAGATACTCCTAATTAGACGACGAGATATGGACTGTATCTCACACCTTATCGGTTGATAACGCTAGGGTAGCAGATCCACATGGAAGCCAGCGTGATCGCTTCCTCTGAATGACAATAGTGTCAGCGATCAACGGTAAGAAAGAACCAGTAGAGGAGGAGACCGTTGCGAATAAATGGTGACCATTCACAAAACCTACCAAGACTTCTTCAAAAATATACTCCGAACCAAAATAATGTTAAGCTGACGGCTCAAAGCCACTGAAAACGCAGCCCGAAAAACGACCACATTTGTAAGCCATGGTTCCGCTTAAGAATACACCAAAACGGCACTTTAGCGTACACATTTGGCTTGATCCATCTCAAGCTTGCAATTCATAGCGAATAGCTTGCCATTAGTGTATCAAAATATCTGTTGGACCTTATTCCTACTCAAGCACTGGAGCAACCCAAGGTCGATAATTATAAGGCTGTATGCTTCCATAATGTAAGGGAAGCTATTGAAGTGGTAGCGGAGCAAGCAATGCCGTGAAATAGGGCACCCCTTCGTTATTGTCAGAAAGTTAACAAAAAATAGACGACATACTTTTGAGCAGTTCACAGTTCTTAATAAAACGAGCACCACAGCAGTCATCAGAAATCGCCTACATCTGCTATATTAAAGGCACAATCCAGGATTAGGCACGCTCATTTGTTCGATCCTTGGCGTAGTAATCAAGGGACAAGCGTTGATGTCGCGCCCTTTTTGTGGCTTGAAAGGTTGCGACAAAGGCGCTAGAATCATCGCTCGACCTGCAATCTACACCATCGCCCACATGCCACGCCTTTCCTCCGCCGGCTGCCACGCTGATACAAGGGGAAGAGCGCGCCGCAAATGCGCCAGCGGTTGCATTGCGGTTAAATGTCATTGGACTGTAGCAACTTTGAAGATGAACTTCAGTGAACATGGGTCATGCTTCAGATTTATCATGGATATAAATCCCGCCTCCATTGAATGGCAGTCTTATAACCCTATTTGAACTGAGAAGTTGAGAAACCGGCTCTATACTTGCAATCAGTCAGCACTTTCACACAGTTTTCACGAATGACAACGATGTGACCCAAAAGCTTCAACACACAGCGTACCTAACACAGTGCTTTGCGGATGTGAAGCTACAATGATCATTCGTGAAATATGTGGCGTTTTGGGTATTTTACAAGAACACGCAACATTCATGTTGAGCGCGATATCGGTTATGAGCTGCTGGCATACATTCCAATTTTATAGGTGGACCTGCGCATGTGAAGTTGATTAACACAAGGAAAACCTTTACATTTCAACATTTTCGTGTTTGAAGGTGTGTGCGATGTACGAATGCTTCCACCTAGCCATCGTTTTGGACGCGTACATAGCGAAAACGCGTGTCAAGGGAAAGCGTAATTCGAAAAGAAAACGCGATCGATGCTCGTGGGCCGATGCGAATTCTCCTATCGAGAAATAGAAGTTAGTGTTATCAGGAATTTCTTACATCATTTTTTTTTAAACAATGAACGTTCTTCCCATGAATAGGTGGAAGCATCATGAAGAACGATAGTGTTTCCTCTCAAATCGCGTCTTCTCGCAACACACATTTCCTTTAATGGGTAAATCCTCTTGAATCTAACTTTTCTCAGATGATAAAAACCAACTTTGCCGGAATGCCTCCACTTGAAGTGTTCCTCCCTAGATTCGCTGAAGGATGGCCAGGAAGGTTGAGGAGCCCACATAACCATCACACGAATCCGCTCTTTTCCGCATTGACAAGTACGGTAAAGGCTTAGAAATACTAGCATCAGTTTTCGAGCCTAGTTTCGCTCGATCTGATAGTAACTGTATCTGACATATCTGACACGTTCAATCGGCAAGTCGCTGAGTTCCATGGAGAAAGTTAAGGGCTTCAATCGCATCAAACAATTACCAGATTAGCAGAAGTCACATCTCATTTCTGGAGCATCAACTGCGAGCCCACTTCTTGAAAAATGCTGTATGGTACAATTATGAGATCCACTCCAACGTATTCCTTGATTTATTTCCTAGTCGCAGTCCACATGAGGGTACTAAACGCGTTTCAACGCTTGTTGACAACAGTCTTCATCAATTGATCCCAGCTGCAGATTGCTGGCGTCCGTTGTGATCTTCACATCCACAAATTCACTCTTTGCATAGACCAGCTGCGTCTTTCATGATTCGGGAATGAAACATACTTCATCAAAGCCGGAATTTAATCACCTTCTTCATCTCCTTTCGCTGTGAATTCGAATACTTATGAAATCACTCATCCAGACACTCCACTACAGTTGAACTTCCGCAAGGGCGGCAAACCGAGGCAATTCTAGGCGAAGGGTGTGATGAGGGTAGCGGCAGAAGTTTGCAGGAGAAGTAGCTGCCTAAGGTGAATTAAATAGAGCAAAAACTTTTACGAGGTGTTTCTGTTGCACTCGGCTAGTGCTGCATTCTCAACATCACTTAATCGCATCACCTACTGAGCGCCAAAGCCGGTACAAAACCGATATATTAGACTACAATGAAGTAAATAGATTAGTATTTGGTACTGCTCTTTCGTTTCGCAACGATGAGTTGATGAGACGGATCACGCGACAAAGCTTAGCTTATCACATAAGCTCTACTTTCAAATAGTGGCATTGACTAGCCAGAAATTGACAGTTCTGCAAAACTTGAAAACCAGCAGAACCAAGAATTAGTGGCAGTACTCACTATTTCTTACACTATTTAGGGCGGAAGTGGTGTAGTGGCAAGTGGCACGCTTACCACGCGAGCGGTCCGGGGATCAAATCCTGGGTCGTGAGTCGCCCGGGCCAACCAAGCCTTCCATCCCTCCGGGTCGGTTAATTGGTACCAGACCATTTGGGCCCTGCCACCGAAATCTTGTATGCCATATCGCATTCAAAAGCGCCACTGCGAATGCACAAATTGAGTAGCATCGTGGCCGACATTCTGATCAACGAAATGCTTAATCCTTTATCCTATACCCACTAATTGATAGTTTCTCGACATCACCTTTTCATAAAGTGTGGGAAACATATATATATATCTCTGGCATGTAGTAAAATGTCACGCAGACTTCCGAAGATTCTCTTGCATGATCTAAGCAATTAAACCGTGCACGATGAATGTTCCATAAAAGTTGGTCATCAGGAATCATAGGTGTCCTCACAGCAGATAACATGCGTAATCAATTGCGCCCTTCGCTTAGCCTTCAGTCATATAATTTCTGTAGCCACAAAATTTATAACTCTTTGATGCCTATTACTCCTGTCTCATCCGACTCAGGCGTGTTTCAAAAACCGGATAATTGCACCACCTGAGATTCCATATGTACAGATTCGAGCTCTTCTTGCAATTTTTAGGAAACTTGATCGATCAACAGGGACCACTGCTCTACCAAAATTCTTTCAAGGAAATACTCATGAAGTAAAATAGACATACCAAAGATTGCGAGAAGGATCCCTTGACCAGACGCGAAGTAGTTTTCCATTCTTCACCAAACCTAGGAGCCAGCTTTGATGATCCTAATCCTTTTTTCACAGCACTCTTTCAACCATGCCGAGCATCCTACGGCGCTATGGGAATGAAAAGTTGCCAAGCGACAGTTTCTGTGAGCAGAGGCAATACTTCTTTTGAACGCGACGCCGAAATGATGAACGATACGCGGTTGCTACGCAGCGGATCCGCTTCTCTCACAATTGTTACATCACATGAAAACGAAAGGTTTTCATGTGAAATGGAGAAAACCTTCCCTGCTCGTCCAGCGCGTCTCCAACGGCATACATTTTGATGCCTTATTTATCTATGCCTCTACCCCTTACTGCTATGCGCGATAAGACCCCCACTACCCTTATGCGGCGACATCTTTCTTGCTAGGCATGGAAACGTCTGGAAAGCGAACAACAGGCGGTGGCGCGCCCAAGCCTTGCATAAAGTCGCAATCATGCTTGCAACGACTCCCTTATGGCCCTAGTAATTTCCCACGCAAGATGATTTCCACTTCGCTCTCAGCGAACCAATCTATCTCAATTTGCATAAGAATTAAGCGGTCTCACTTGTTTAGAACCCTCCGAAAATGCACTTTTTAGGGGAATTTTCACTTCTTTTGATATTTCAAGCACTCAAAAATGAACTCGTTTTCGAGTTCTATGTATGCGTCTCTATGAAATGAAATAAGCGCTCAAATTCTTCAACCAACAACCCCTTGGCTGAGCCTGTAAGCAAACTTGGCAATTTCTGCAGTCTTCGGGCGCTTACATCAATGAATTGCGAAATCATCGTTCATTTTTTGATGTTACTGGCCATGGCACTGCGATTTTCCAATATTTCAATGAATGGCACTGCGATTTTCCAATATTTCAATGACTACACTGAATGTAATACGTCACCATGTGATGCTAACTACCACATCACAGGAAGATGTCTACAGCCGTCTGTCCCAATCACAATTTTGCGGTTTAATTACCCTCCACGGCAACGCATAGTGCGTTACTTGATAAGGTTTACTTCTTCGGACTTTGATTTTCGAATATTTGATAAGAACTAACCATGGGGCGTAGAATTTCACCAAAGCGACTTCGTGTGAAGCAATAAGTTCATCGAAATTGCTGTCAGTATATTCCAACACATCTCCGGACGCAGAAATGCCCAGGACGAGTGCGGCCAGCACACAAACGATCCTCATTCCTTATTTTTTACCCTGAAACACTATCTGCATAGTTTATTCATTGGCAGGAATTGAAACAAAGCAAACCACGAATAAGAGGAGAAACCAGTGATTGTGGAACGCGACGCGTGTGCGCAGAACATTGAGAGCGGGCGGGACGCAGACCGCTAATCGATAGTTTCTAGAAGGAATCAAACGGACGGAAGTCTGGCACACTATGGCTGGATACCAGGACCTAACGGTGCTGCCACTAGTACACTGCGGAAATGAGAATGGGGGAAAGGATCATGGCCAATATCGATCGGTGCGTCCCGGTCGATGGCTATTGTGAGGACGCCGACAAACAGCACATGACGAGGCGCATGATGCGCGCAGCAGGACCTGACGCGCACACGCCAATGGGCCCACTTGGGGGTGTTTCGGGCATGGACCCCCACAAGACCTGTCAGGAAGGACCACCGGGGAGCTGCATGGACGTTAACGATCGCATGAAACTACTCCCACCACTATCCGACCGCAAGCGAACCGGGCTATGAACGTGTGTCCTACTGCAATTGGTCGATTGACGTGAGACCACCCACAAGTCAGCCGAAGTCCTAATGATACCCGCCACGAAATCCTGTCTCCTCGCTTCGCAGAAACGGCTACAGATTAGTTACGAATAACTGGAGCGCGCTAATTTCGTGTTCGAGTACTTGTATCAAGGTAACTTCGCAAAGTGTCTAGATCGCAATTGTGACTATAAACATAGCTCACTTCATTGTGGACATTTGGGTTATGTTTATCGGAAATTGATTCCGATGGTGGACGGTTGTAAATAACTTGTCGTATTCGTTCACATAGTCGGCGCATTTGATATTCGTTTGCAGTTGATCCTTTAGAACTTCAAGTATGAGCGACGTAGAAGACGAAGGAGTGTCAACAATCTCGCTGAAAGTGAAGACAACTACCGCAGCTTATGATGTTCAAGTCAAAGCTGATGCAACGATTTCAGATGTAAGAATTTATTAATTTTGATTTTCTTAGTTTAATATTTAACATCTTTCTCAAAAAGCCTATTCACGTTCAAGATATGTTCTATGCCTAAGTACTGAATAACGTTGAAAAATCCCTCCTCTGTCTGATCTTTTCTGGAAAGATTCTGAAGGACCACGAGAAATTGGAAACTCACAGTGAGGATTGTCTCCTGTCGTCAAATTCTAGCTTAATATGTTTCAGATCAGTCTGATTTTGGTCAGTTGCCTTTGCTTTCAGATATTGGTGATGGCATGGCATTACATCTTGTTGTTCGACAGGGTCAAAATCGCGTAAGTAACATTTATGTCTCATAAGTATGAAAGCCTATTCCTAGACGAAATATGACCTTCTCCTTGGAAAATTTCTACTCTTCAACTGCTCATATTTATGTCCCATTCTAAATGGATGTCATCATTCTGTGAAATATTTTCAAAACTTTGAAGTTAGATTACACGACATTATGTCATGCTTTTCCTATGATTTCGTCGACAGCAACACTGCTTCAAATCAAACTCATCGATCCTTCATCCATCACCTGCCAGGTACGAAATCCAAATCACTTTGATCACTGTCGTGTTCACTGATCGCCGCGTATGATGATAAGAAATGAAATTTAATAAATGTAGTTTTTGCTCCTTGTAGCTGTATACTAGATGGTTTCGACTTTGCTAGGATACAATAGATCCGCTGTTCATAGTTCTTTTAGTGTTATGATACTAAAAATGCACCACTTTTGTATGGAAATGACGCGCTTAGAGTTGACAGCTTTGACCGAATTTCGGGTCTTAGATTGTGGAAAGGCTGATGTCAGAGTCCGCGATCCTTTGCGCGATTTTCGCGATATGCGCGACGGGTCACGGAAATCACCAAGTGCACCCATCCATACTGCAAGGTTTCTCCAATCCCGCCGTCACTTCTGCTTGATGGTTATGGTTTAATGGAGACTGCTCATGATTCCACTTGTTTCATATCCAGTGTTTCAATTGTTCAAATGGGGCACTTGCAATTTTTGTGATTGGTTTGGTTTGATTCCTGAAAAAAATAGGAACGATTCAAGAGCATTTCAATGAACTAATAGACATTGAACATGAAACAAGTAGAACCACAAACATTCGTCTTCCAATCTTTACTGCCAAGCAGAATTCGCAGCAGGATTAAACAACACCTCGCAGTATTCATCGGGCACTTCCAACTCCTGTGATCCATCGCAGTTCGAAAATCATCAAAAATTAGCGCAAATCGCTCAAAATGATCGCGGACTCTACATCAGCTAATGAAGCTATACTTTAGTTGAAGCTTATGGGGGTCGAAGTATATCGCATCCTCCACGTAGATATTACCTCTAACATCTTGGAAATAGTGATTTTGCTTTCCCTTGCGGAAAATCTCCCATCATCTAAGAAATCCCATGCAAGTAAGTTGCAAGTTTTATAATGCGTGTGGAGCTCACATGTGTATTGGAACTGACCGTGATGCTGTTCCGAGACATTTATACCAGCTAGGAAAATTCAAAGGAGAGAAAATGGCTGCATGCATTAATTTACTGCATTAACTGAATATCACTTGAGCAGGTCGATGTTGCATATCCTAGCTCTGAGATGATAAAAAAGTTGGAGATATTCAAAAATGAGCTGGTCAATTGATCACTTCGGAACTAAAATCGTATCATAGTGGTTTCATTGCCAGTTTGGCGAAAATGTGGTTGATGACGATAACAATGGAAATTACTTTGGTTGATTGGACAAGTTGTATCGTTCTTTCACAACAGACATCGCCTTGAGCAAAAAATAACCGAAATTAAGTGAACCATCCGGAACTTTTTTTAGCATTTCATAAACTTGGAAATCCAAATAACTCTTCTAAACACAACCCTCTCTTTTGCTATGGAGACTGGCATAGGCATGGTTCCAACGATTCAGGTCGTCGTAGGCGGGATTCGGTTTCAATGCAAGCATGTATCTGGTCTCTTTCTGATGATTATCTCGATTGAACTAGATATCTGTTTGTTCTCAACACAGTATCTGCGCGACCTCTTTCTTTGGTTTATTCATCTGTCCTCGCAACATTTTGGATACGGGTTCATAAAAGAGTGCAAGGCAATCCTATCTCACTGTCACTGGCTTTGCGCAGGCATTAGCGCCCTAAGTAGGTTCCGTCCGATTTCTTTTTCATCTTTTTGGTTCCCCTTCTTTCTTGGTGGTTTCCTGAATTTACAGCCTTTTCTCCAGGAACGCAACAATGTGCCAGGCAAAATGTAAGCAAAATCGTCATAGTGTGCGAGAAACTTGACCGCATATTCCGTCATGGGCCTGTTACATAGGTTGAAAGAGAGTGACCAGGCAGCACAGTACTACCGCTAATAACACTCAAAGTTTGTTGGGAAAGAATTGAAAAGAAAAATGGTAGTTATTGAAACATTTCCACATTTTTTTCTGGTTTGTGGAATGCAATTCAACTGGAGATACACCTCATTAGTTTCATTTATTTGTATTTATTTGTTTATTTGCACTACCGCTGTCCAAGAATATGATTTGTTGGATGGACACATATGGTAATTACCTCATCAAAATATCAAAAAAGAAGATAGTTAGATTTTCACTTTTTTAACACAAGTAATTTAGGCATCTGGCGGTTCACCAATGGCTAGTTCTTTGTTTGGAGGAGATATTTCTGCAGGAGGACCTCAAGTAAGCTTTTGTTGTTAGCAATGCTTGTTCAGTAATGTTGCTATTAGTGGATTCCATGTTCAGTATTCTTGACGCATAGTACATTCCTTGACTGGCATTGTGCCACTTGTTACGGTGGTAGCTTCATTCGATCGATGTTTTGAACAGCTCGGCGTTGATGGAACGTAAATGTTCCAAAGGCGACGAGTTGTAGACTGCAAAAAAGCTGTTGCGTCGGCGACCTGAGTGGCATTGCAACATGAAGGAGTTTTTGTTTGCGCAATCCAAGTTGGTCGCTGTTGCAGGCGATGGCTCAACAAATGATGAATAATCCTGAGATGATGCGTCAAATGATGGATAACCCTATTATGCAGAACATTATGGGCAATCCAGAAATCTTCCGTTCCCTGCTCGCTAACAATCCTCAGATTCAGCAGCTCATTGAGGTTGACCATTGATTGTCTTCAAGTTTAAGCTTTTTTCCAACAGATTGTACAAAGAATCTTCGAATCCGTTCAAAAAACGTCTCATGTTAAGCGAAACCCAGAACTCGGACATGTGCTGAACGACCCAGATATGATGCGGCAAACAATGGAAATGATTCGCAATCCCAACATGTTCCAAGAAATGATGCGCAATCATGACCTCGCGATTCGTAATCTTCAGGTTAGTCGTTCTTGTTTCACTCTGTACTCAGTGAAGAACCCCTTTAGTGAGCCATATTTTCAATCCAAATTATTTGCAAAAAGCGCTTGGGAGTTAATTGCCAAGTTTCTCTTCTATCCGGGAACTCCCACGATTATTTTCGGTATGAGTGCTTGCTTCCAACAATTTTGTGCTATCACATTCGTTACAAAATGCAGTCTTGTTCTCGAGCGATGGTGCAGTGTGTAAAGAAAATCCAACAGGGTTGCCGACATATTGTGAATTCATTTTGCAAGCGAGCAAAATCAAGTTCAACTATGCGTACGGATAAGTGGCTACTTGTGCTGAGGTTTTGCGTTAAGGCGCAAGTGTGGCGTGTTGTTTCATTTTCCAAAATATTCAGGGTATTCCTGGAGGTGAAGCTGCACTACAACGTCTATACCAAGATGTGCAAGAACCACTTCTTAATAGCGCCACAAGTTCTTTAGCTGGGGGGGGCCGGGGGGGGGGGACTGTAAGCCCTTTGCGACCACTGTCCGTCGAGAGAAGACACAACAGTGAGTTAAGAACAGCAGAAGTGCGCTTTAAGAACTTAGAACAAAGGTGAAACTCCAGTTCGGGGGGGCCACTCCAGTGCTATCTTATCCGTAGTACTAACGAGTGGTACTTTGGGCTATCCAACACCATGGATAAGATATCAAGTAAACGATTAATTTCGAGCGTACTTTCGATAAGGACCGGTAAATGTTGTCCATCACACATTCTGCCCACCTCCTATATACAATTTTCTGCACCAGGTCATCCACCCTGGAGCTCCTCCACCCTTGGCCCTAGAAAGAGGTATCCATTCTCCGGTCCAGGACCGTTCCCTTGGACCATGGCAGGCGGAAAGGTTAAAGCATCTCACGGCTTTTTTCCCATTACACCGTTACTTATCAAAAGTATACTCTGAATGAGTTGGTTACGTATCATGAGCGCTGTCATCCTTATCTCGAGTATTGGAGAAACAATGGAGTGGCCCCCCCGAACTGGAGTTTCACCCGAACATTATCTTTATTTGCAGTATATAGTACTGAGGTTTTAGCTTCTCGAAGTCAGCGAGCTGGCCAAGAAAACAGTGAAGCGTTACCAAATCCATGGGGTAGCGGTGGTTCGGCCAACTCTCAGCGTAATAACTTCGTATAGCATACTACGAGCAACCGCCCCGAAGGAGGTTTAGGCAATGTAATTTTATGTTAGCCTTGTTTATTAAGTGACGGATCACCCTTTGAAAGAAGTTTTCTCGTTGCACAATGTCGCTTGTGAGTTGAACAAGCCAGTCATTTATGATCTAGGCTACCGTGGCGCTCATAATTCGTAATTCCTTGCTTCAGCTCTTCTTGGATCAACTGGTATGAATTCTTTGATGGAGCAGATGATGTCCGATCCAGCTCTTATGCAATCTCTGATGCGTCCTGAGATGATGGACTTATTTAGACAAAGCATTTCTCAAAACCCATCAAGTCGTGCAGCAGGTAATTTTGAAGTATTTCTTAACATCATCATATGTTATTTATCTTGTTGATTCGGTCGTAGCTCAGCTGAAAACTTCTGGAACATTCTGGCTCTGCTCGAAATTGTACTATGATTGCTCTCCTACATGAACTTTGAATCGGAAATGCTACCGATACGGACAAAGCGTTGTTTTTGTGATCGCCCTGTGATTTTGTGAACTAATCCTCTTCTCTAATAGCGTGCAAAATGTTGCCTAGATTTATTCAAACCCATGTTTATCTAACTGCATGCGTTACGTTCCTTCCAAATCATTGCTTAAATTTATAGTGAGCGTAGGCCTTCAATAGATATTCCATGGAAAAAGCATCAGAACAAAAAATCAGTGACGACCCAACATATGAGTCCGCGTTTCCGATAATTATAACACCAAACGAAACGCAGTCGATAGAAGCTTAAAGCTTCACAAAATCGGTCCCTTTGCCGACGCAGTCAGCGTTCGGCACACAATTTTATCAAGAATATTTGGAAAAACGCATTCACCGGCTAGGGTTTTCTTGAACACCAAATCATGATCTCAGCGTCTTTTTGGATTTCCTATTTGTTTGAGTAAACGCGCAGCGTCAACAGCCCATATTAGATGTGAAAGCGCGTGAAATTTGAATGAAATGATAAGTTTGGCCATTTTCAACTAAAAAAGTTTTGTTAATAGCGAAGCCACAAAAAATTTATTCAGAGCCGCCTAATAGTTTGAGAAAATGCCCACAATTAACGTGCCCCCTCCTTTTCCTCAGTTTTTTTTTCCCATTAGACTTCGAGTTATTACTGAGTTAATATAGGGATTTTGATTTTTGCAAGATAGCCCAAAATTGAGTTGCAGATTATGGAGCAAAATCCTTTGGTAGCTAATAATCCTCAGCTAGCGGAACAACTTCGAGCACAACTTCCGAACATGAGAACATGGTGGTGCATTTTGAACTTCAGTGCATTGCATTGTTGTATGATTTGGTAATAGTACTTGGTACTTTATGGTTCAAAAAGATTACTTGCTTTTTTGATTTCGTATTTGTAGATGTCCAATCCTGACGTTTTGGCTGCTATGTCAAATCCTCGTGTTTTGGAAGCACTGCGCATGGTTCAACAGGGCATGGATATTCTTCGACGAGAGGCACCGGCCTTGGCAGGGTATCTGCTTTCATTAACATATTTTTTATAGTGGATAGCCTTCAGTGAAGTCTCTCGAGTTTTTGTTGTATGTTTTGAATCCCTTGCTAAGGGTTCTAGTCGGCAGATATCTCATTCGCGTAATAACGTATATATCAGAATGTTTGGAAGCGGTTTCTCGAATGCACCCTCCGCGAATGCTCAACGTAATACATCATCGGCCAATGGAGAAGATCCAGTGAACGCATTGAACGCTATGTTTGCTGGAATGAACACCACACAGGTATTTTGCTCTCTTTTAACCTTATTTGTTATCATTCAGTATTGCTGTAATGGGTTTTGCTGTGAAGGGTGATAGTCTAGCGCATCGGTCACATTAAAACTGCGTATTATCTACAAAGTCGTGTCAAGAAACAATGATTCTAAGGTCTTGATCCAAAGGATTGCAGAAAATTTTGGCTATGTGGTGTGGTAACCGTTTTAGTGATCGAAACCGTTTTTTAACAACTTTTATGAGCTGTATCGTTGCAAATTTTCGGCTCATACGTTAAAGATTACGATTAACCTTGCGGAGTCCTCTAAATTTTCATATAAAGCGAATCAGTGTAGTTATGGAGGAAGTCATTTTCAATGACGCATGTGTTGTTAGGGTCAACTGATCTAGGTAACGAGGAAGTATGGACAAATGAAACTCTTTTTATGAAACCTTCGATGAGATAAGGAACACATTCGCGGCGCTTACCATTTACCATTTCTAGCAATCCTTCGAATTGAAATTCAGGAGCAAAACCTACTTTTCACCCTGATCGGACTCTTGATGAACCTCGGCATAGTTATGGTATGAGTTTATTTGACTTAACTGTGCACGAGTTTGGCAGTATGATTCCGGTGGCTAACGTTACATCCAAATCGATAGCTTTGATCAGCAGCAAAGAAGTTTTTCCTAAAGTCTGAAAAGGGATCTTCGTCGGATTTGTCACAAATAGGTCAGTCGCGCGAATGAGCGACCATAATGGTTATCGGAAGGAAATCCGACCTTTCCGAGGAACAGGGTTCCATTTCAATATTGGGAGCTCGAATTTTCTACTTATAGTTTGTACTTATAGTTTATACTTATAGTTACTTACTTATAGTTTGTACTTCTGCCTCAAGGTGTGTAGGTGAAAAATGTTCATTCTAGTCTGAATAAAAATCTCCCACCCACCATCCTTGAGGCAGAAATAACCACATCTAAGGAATTTAAGAGGTATTCAGCTTTTATTTCTATCATAAGAAGAATTGTGGGAGCCATTTAGTCAACCACTTGTCAAAATTTGTCGTTTTGATCTTTATTCCCGCTTTCTCGGCCTAGGAATGACCTGGTTGACAGTAATCCCTTCGATCATTCTATTTCAAGAAGTTTATGGGATTTTCTTGGTAGATGATTGTGATTCCAACCGCTCGAAGACGTCATCGTCGCATCTTAGAAAAGGGTTGTTCATATTGCCCTGATTCTAATTTTTGACGTAGCTTTGAAATACAATATAACTGCATATGATGGTGCCAACTTCCGCTACCTACTTTGGAGAAAGAGCCTTCTGGATAGTTGTTTGACGACAGTGTGTAGTAATTTCAGTTTTTTTTTTCTGACAGCATATATGTTAGATTAAAGCGGAAGTGTCGGAGGCAAATGACGCCGTATAGCAAGTTTACAAGCCAAATCCCTTCGGGGTTGGTTATTCAATACCAGATTGTCTGGTACGATAAAAAGCACTGTTTTGTACATCGGCTGGCCATCCTGAAGTCATTGTATGGGCCAAATTGCGTTCACAATGCCACTGCGATTTTGGACGTATGCAGCACGCGTAGCGTACACCAAAAGGGGGATCTGCTCAACGCGGAATGTTTTATCTTCGTTCTTTGAATTTTGGGTTCATTCACTTTGTCTTCTTTTCTGGTAATGAGATTCATTTCGCATCGAAGGTAAAAGAAGGGGTAAGAGAGCTTGGAGCTGAAAAAATTTTTTACTAGTGCCGCAGCTTTCAGTCAGCATTCTTCTTCTAACCAACGGAAGGGTTACATTCACTCATGCACGGTGAATGGAAACTCAAGAAAACCGTTACAGTCAGGGGTGCTGCTTACAAATATGGAGATCCGAGTTGGTACCGTCTGAACCTCAAAACAAATACTGTATAGGTTTATGG